ATGCATGTACAACTAAACCGAGCTTACAAGAGGTGTATACTCATTTGTGATCATCAGCAAATTTATATATCGCCACTATTAACACATTATTATTTTCCCCGCGTTGACCGCAGGAAAGCGTGTGTATTTAATTTGCCGATTTTGCGATTTTCATGTATGTGTGTATACGTGCATGCGTACATGCATGCGTACTTGGCTGCGCATTTGTGTGATTGCATGAAAATACAAGTCCTGAGGGTATCAACGTTCCAGACAACAAATATATATATATAGAGAGAGAGAGAAAAAGAGAGAGGGAGAGAGAAAGAGATTAAATAAAAGTATACATGGTTATTACGTATACATCAGTGGAGAAGGTATCTCACAAGAATTTAATTATGACTGCCTAAAAAAATAAAATAAAACAAAACTTTCGCCATAGAGCCAGAATTCAGTAAGGTGGCGCTACCTAGCGTGCAGCTCCGCGGCCTTTTCCTTGAGGCGGGCGGCATCCCAGCCGGAGACGTTGCATGGGCGCACCCTGGTCTTCATGTAGGCGTTCTTCTCCTCCTCCACCTGTTCCTTGGTCTTCTTGCCACCAAGAACCTGCGAGACGAATGAACGGGAGAGATAAAGATGGTGCGAGACAGGGAGAGTGTGCGCGCGAGAGAAATAGCGAGTGAGAAACACAATCAAGTTATATTCGCTATATATACACTCAATAGGCGTATTATATAGCTGTATTTAATATCCCCACGCAGCGAAAACGGCGAAACGTGTATTATTCCTGCCGATAGATGGAAACCTGCTCACCTTCTTGGCGCTCACACCGCTGCCCTTCTCGATGACGTAGTTGGGTGAAGAGGCGACGTCAGTCTGGCCGGTGACACCCATCAGCTCCATGCGACGGCGCTCGGCCTCGGCCTTCCTGCGGGATTTCTCCTCGTCCCTCCTCTTGTTGATCTCTTCCTGCAAGCAAACGTGAACCGCACTCGTCAGATCAAACTACATGCGTGGTCAAGAAATTCTACTAGAGCTGAAATAATGGTCTCGTTGCTTGCTCGCAACGTAAACGTAAGACAATTATATATATATATATTTATAATGGTAATTAAACAAATGGTAAAGTCCACTTGTGTCAGCCTGATTGCCTTGTATGTTTGTCATTATGAACTCCCCGTATGTCCACACGAACTTCCCGTATATCGGCTGTAACTTCCCGCATGTGCAGTGCGCTCTCACCTCCTCAATCTGCCTCTGCGCCTCCAGAACTCTCCTCTGCTCGGAGTAGCGCACCTCCTCCTCCTCTCTCTCTATCCTGCGGGCGGACTGTCTCTCCTTCAGCTTCTGCAGTTCCTCGGCCTCTTTCTCACGCTCGATCCTGAAGAAAGAAAGAATGAAGAACGGAGTGCATGAAGAATCATTGTACGCGTGAGTGAGCGTAACGAGGTGTGCATGTGTGTGTGTGTGTGTGTATATATATCATCGTGTGTCCCGCGCGCCGCCGGCTCGGCTTTTACCGGTCCTTCCCCAGCCGCTGACGGTTGCCTCCATGCCCGCATACTCTGCCGCCTCTGCTCGCTTGCCCGTGTTTATGGTGATGGGCGCGAGTACGGCCGGCTTGATGCTGTCCGTGTACGTGACCGGAGCCATCAGCTGCAGCAGTGCGACGTCATTCTGAAACGTCGCCGACGAGTAGCGAGGGTGCACGATGATGCGCTCCACCTAGCGGATCCGGAGAGAACGAACGTGAGGAGTGAACGCGCGGTAGGGTTCACGTGTTAGTGTTAGTATTAGTATTAGTATTAGTATTATGCAGACATTACGTATATGAGTAAGAAACGTATCCTTAGATTTAGATATGAGTTCTCTTTATATACCCGCTCTATAGAATGGAACTCTTGTGGTGAGATGCACAACCTATATAAGTAAATGCGCTGCTGAATGGACACACTAGTTCTATTGTCCATTCCTTTGTTTGTTAGTTCTGATCGTTTGCTCTATCGCTAGCTCGCTCGCACGCACGCACGCACGCATGCACGCACGCTCGCTCGCTCACCCACACCTTCTCGCGACACATCCATTCCGTCAATCACCCATTCATTCATTCTAACACTCGCCACTGCTTAATCAATTCATCGATTAATGGAATTTCTACAGATTTAATCGGTCACGTGTGATACCCATGTAGTGTACTCACGAGGGACACCGTGCTCGTTTCGTAGGCCGAACTGCCAAGTCGCACTGTGAAGAAATCCGGCACGTCCTCAAACCTGAAAGACAGAACACAACACGTGTAGCACGGGGAAAATAGCTACACATGTGCGTTAGGGGAAGAAAGGAAGGGAGAAGAGAGGGTACTTTCGTTAGGGGGAACGGCGGATCACTCACATGTCGGGAAAAGCAAGAGGAGGAGAGTCGAAGGAACAGGAAGTGGAACAGAAAGGAAGGAGTAGAATGGAGGGGAAGGGACTGGGAAGAGGAGGACATAGTAGGAAGGGATGGAGGGGAGGGTGGGGAGGAGAGGTGAGAGGAGGGGAGGGAAGTGGGGGCAAAAGGAGGGGAAGAAAGGGGAGGGAAGGAGGAGCATTGACGTTACGGAAAAGGGTGAGCACACCACCTTTCACTCACACACCACTTCACTCAACCTCTGACGGGGAAAGGAACGGGAGGGAGTGGGAGGGAACAGGACGAGAGAGGGGAAGAAGGACGGATTGGGTATAGATGGGGAGGAGAGGGCAGAAATGGGAAGAGGAGAGGACGTAGAGAAGGGTGGAGGAAAGAGGAGCGGAGGGGTACTCACCCTTGCACGCAGTGTGCGGCCGTCAATATAAACATATTATGGATGAGCGACCCTCCACAGATGAACTCCCCGTATCTGATGATGGCTGCCTGCAACGAGACCGTACTTATATATTATATAGACATCTCACTACCCCCCGCTCTCGCTCTCCCCCTCTCTCTCTCTTCCTCTCTCTCTTCCTCTCTCTCTCTCTCTCTCTCTCTCTCTCGCTCTCTTTCTCTCTCTCTTTCTCTCTCTGAGTCTAATCTAAACAGTTTTAGCCTACTGTTAATGGTATTCGCCAAATGAATTTTATTCTAGTAAAGTTACTTCTAAACGAACGGTCCTCATTGGACGTCAAGCAGCGCGCATGCGGGATACGTATCTCAAGTCTCGTTCTTCAATGATGATCTTGCGTGAGTTCGGTCCATACTTACCGCGCTTGGTAAAGAAAATTCGTCGGACTGTAGATAGGATGTCGACGCAAAAAGATAATACCCCCCACAAAAATCTACTGAGAAAGATCGAATTGAAAAAAAATCTCGAAAAGCAATCTCTTTGGTGCGAAGATGAGGCGTACACCTACGTGACACGTGACGCGTGGCGAGGTCGGTGAACGTTGATATAGTTGCGCACCTTCGTGACCTTCTCTGACCTACCTAGACATTGCACGCGCTGCGTACGTCCTGATACTTCTGTGGTTGTTAGTCATTCATACTAAGGCTCGTGAAGAAAGAAGGCGGCGGCGTCTGCTACCGCGCACGACGACGTACCTACTATACACACACAGATCATGCACGCGGCTTCCAGGGGGGCAGTTTATCTCCGCCGCACGTCTTCCGTAGGGGTAGGGAATCGCGGTAAGCCGGGGGCGGGAGCTGGCAGGGAGCGGCAGCAGGAGCCGGCAGATTCGAGCTCGTTCGTAGCCGGTGGCCTGCAGGCATCTTTTCCGACTTGTGTCACCTCCGGCGGCGCGCAGCGGCTAAAACGAGCAGGACGATAAATTCGTGAGTTCGTGCACGTAAGCCATCCCTCTGTGCGCATCGCAGCGCCCTCTATATAAAGGCATGCGTGCGGCCTGCCGAACGATTACGCCGCGATCGCTTACTTTTTCGTAGCAGGGGAAGTAGTAAGCAGATAGGTAGCGTGGATCGATGTCGCTTAGACTAAAGCTCAGCGCCGCATGGCGGCAAGAAAGGTTTAGCACGTCTGGATGCAACTGATACATGCCTTCGAGAATGTTTGAAGAGAGGGGCAAACGCGCAATGACGTCGGTAAGAAAACGCTGCGTAAATTCACTGCGTTCTCTGCGACGCGCGCTGCTGCGATGACGTGCTCTTAAAAGGGAATTACTTATGGTTTAAGATATCGCATAGCGTCCGTGGCGCCCTCCTACACGAGAGTAGCACGGCATTAAAAGACTGATCACATTTCCTGCTATTTTCCGACAAATAGAATTCCACAGTTTCGCAATTTTCGGAGGGCACAGAGAGGCGTCAAATAGAAACCAAAACATCTGTTTTACGGGCTGAACGTTTCCGAGCACGATCGCCTAGTAAAATAATGAAAATTTCATAGTATGGAAACAACATTCTTTTTACCATAACTTAGCGTAAGCAAACAAATAGCTTCCTAAGAGAAATTAAGTTGGAATGAAAGGTGATTAGACTCATTGTTATACGAATATAACGCTTTCAAATTACGCTACATAGTTTTGAATGCTTTTGAAAACTTTCGGAATACGTTGTAAGTTAACGAACATTTGACGTGAAATCGCATTAAATTATTACTCTAGTAACGTCAAAAATCTGTGCTTCGTAGAATCCCGCGTATATATACACATATAACACATACAACGTTTAGATCTACAGCGCCTAACTGGGTAGCGGTATTATGGGTTAATGGACTTTGCCGGTTATGTCGATCTTACAAAAACACGTATAAATCCAGCCGAAATAAAAATTGCAATCCACGAAAAACGTCTACGCCGGAAAAAAATTTAAGATCAGGCGAAGCCAGCGTGGATGGAAAAAACGACGCTGCGATTTGCACTGCTGATCGGGAGTATAATAAAAAACAAAAGTTCGTTTTATTCCTCCGATGTGATTGCCAGTCGAATTTGTCTGCAGCTGCGACACCGGAAGTCGAACGTCACGTAATGTTTGCGCAGCTTCTTCTCGTGACATCGTGCAATGGACGTCGGCGGTTCGTGAAAAAATCGGACTCAGCGAGATACCGATCTGGCTCGTTTTAACATTTCCTTATTTTCTCTTCGTATGCTCGCCGAGACAGTGCGTTCCCTTCGGTTTAGAAACAGATTCTTTACGCTTCTTCCATCAACGATCTTCTGTCAACCTTGCTCTCGTGATTTGCTCGCCTACATGAATCTTCGGCTATAAAAAACAACATCACTAACCAACATCAAAAACGGCAGGCCTCGCAAAAAGGAAGAGGAAGTTGATGATCGAGGCGAAATTCTGGGCGTCGGTCGCGAACGTCTGATCTGCCCTTGGCGCTGGCGCTCCGGGCGTGACCCTAAGAGGGCTGGCGTTGTGAACGGCCGACGCTTGCCTGCCGACAGACAAGGGCTGTCTAGCTGGGGAAAAACAGAGGACGAGCATGCAAACACGCTTAGATGGGTATAGTGGGGTGAGGGTGGCGTAGAGGGCGGTGGTGGTGGAGAAAATAGAAAGCACACAAAAGTTGCCCGGGGAGCCACCCCACATCAACAACGCCTCTCCGTCCAGCCACATGCCCGATAGCAGCCGCCCCTCAGCGGCGCGCTGGGAAGACACAGCACCACGCATCCAGAGCACTCCGGAGTATGACGGGGTACCGTTACTCTGGTTACAGCTGTCTTCTCTCATCATAAGGACCTGAGGTCTACGCGGCGAATCAAAATTTGCTCGACGTGGGCTTAATTTTAGGCTGTTGGTAAGATGCAAGAGGAGAGTCGAGGCGCTTGTGGAGAGACTATCAGTGTATGCAGGGTGCGCGATTTATCTCTTGCCAGGTTCAGCAAGAGACGGACTCACCTCGCCTTCGACATCCGCGTACGCGGTTCGCGTGGCCGCCACGTTTGCTTTGCGAAATCCGCCGTTTTGCAGCGTGCGATAAACGAAGCGCTGCGGCTGTTTCTGACGGTCGCCCATTGCGCAACGTGAGTTGTCTTCCCTCACCGACAGCGAACGCGAAATAAACGATCGCCCGAAGTGCTTAAAACGAACTGACGTGTCATTGCTGGCTGATGCCGTCGCGCTTGGCGACGGTTGTCGACGGTTGGCGGCGATGACGCGCCGAACAGATTGCGAGCCAGCGCCACCAATTGTGGCAATGACGCCAATTGTGTTTAACCGGACTAACAGTGCAATTTTAGTTGCTTAATAATCTTCTAAATGGAGGCAGATGGCGGCCACATGCTACAGCGTCCGCGGTTTGCTAGCTACTAACTCTACGCTCGACTACTGATGGCAAACACGCGTAGCTTACCTGCGACGCGAGAGATAGAGACGCCGCAATAATATGGCGTGCTCTAGCCGATACCGATCTGCGTTCGTCCGCTAGGGTGACGCGCGGCAACTAGCGGCGTTACCATTGGCGACTCGGAGAACGCTCGCGCGAACTGCAGTCGGCTGATCGTTCGCGCGGCGGGCATGCGCAGGAAGTGCCGGGAATGCTCTCCAACTTGCTGACCGCGGATGCGTTCGTTATTCTAACGCGTTATTATCTGATCACTCGCCAGGCGGCGCCATTCGCGTCATGCTATTGAGTATGCATATCCCGTGATACAGGGTTATGAGGTGTCGCGGCGCTATCTACGTTCCATGCTAGCAATGCTGCAGTAGTTACTGTATATTACTCTCACACTCGTGCTGGCACTGACGGCACGATAGTGTCACGCCAGATGCCACCAGAGCTGGAGGGTGCTGCGCCTCTCTCTTTCTCCTTTTTTCACGCTCTCTCTCCTCTCTCTCTCTCTCTCTTCTCTCTCTCTCTCATCTCCGCTCTCTTTCTGTTAGTCTGTCTCTATCTCTTCCGTCCTCTTTGTTATTTTCTCTGATTCTCTGTCACTCTGTCACACACTCTATCACCCTTCCTTTCTCTCTATCTTTCTCTTGTATGTGTGTGCCTGTGTGTGTGTGTGTGTGTGTGTGTGTGCGCGTGCGTGCGTGCGAGCGCGCGCGCGCGCGCGCGTGTGTGTGTGTGTGTGTGTGTGTGTGTGTGTCTGTATGTGTGTTCGTGTATTTAGCGCTATCCTCTTCCAGTAAACCTCAGTATTCCTCGTAAAATTACAAAAGTGGATAAGTTTGAGATATAAATGCCAAATAAAACTTTATTCGATATGTTTAACACAACATTGTTTGATAATAAGCTAATCGAAAAACTACAACTGATAATTAGTTGAAGTTGCTCGCACAGTTCGGCGAGGCAACACGGACTTTTACACAACGCTAGAGTTGCGAACAGCTAGCTATACTGTTTACTATACGTATGAGATGGATCGATGCCCAGGCATATGTGTGAAGAGACACTCGCTGAGACAGGCATCAACGATACGAAGATGTGTGAGTGTTGGTGAGGGGGGGGGCAGATCCAGTTCGGGTCGAACAACAAAATACGCTCCTGGCTGCGAATACCCGTTACCAGCTATCAGCCTTTTGGTTTTACGCGGCCTCCCCGTGTGTTAGCTGGCGTTAGGACTCAGCGGCGAGAATAGTCTTTGTTTGCGACCGATAGATGGCGATGGTGGCGCCCGGTGTGAGAAGCGAAGGAAGCGGCAGAGGAAAATCCGGTCGGTCTTGTTGCTGGAATCCTGTCACAGCTGACGTCAAAGATACGAAGATGGACGGAAAGAGACGACCTGTGAAGGCAAGGCACGTGGTTAAAATCCCCGTAAAGCACAGAGCGAGTGAGACTTCACTGTATATTTCACGGTGAACATTTACTGTTGCGTTATTTGACAATCGAGAAAAATGTCTGTTTTAGAGGAAAAGTAAAGTTCCCCTACGCTGTTTCGTAACGCTTTATGAATTATCTGTAATTATTATTTGTATATTTTCCTTGATTATTGATTATTCGCACATTTCATCGATTTCAAATGACGCTTACACGTGCGTTACAAGCCATGTATCTTGTTATTATGCATAGAATCGTAACCGTAATCCTACGTAAAATGATCTAATATCTCATCTTAGAATTTATATTTTAAGTTCCAGCCAGGAAATGACGTCATGAGGTCACGATGACGTCATATGGCGTACAGCTAGATGTCAGCGAAACCTTTAATACTGCTGACGTCATATACTTACGGTGACGGGTCACATACCCGACGAAGAAATACGTGGACCCTCATACTTGTTCCCGTGCACGCGCGTTTTCTCACTCCACAGCTCGATCAAAAACAGAGATTCTCTTTCACGCGTTTTTGTCTCTCGCTCTCTCTCCGTTTATCTCGCCCTCATAACATCCAGCGTATACGCAAGGCGCCCACAGTAACGTACCTATAGACACACTAGGGGCGGGCAACGCGTACAGAAGCAGCAGACCTAGGCTTCAACATCCATCGGCGCAGGCTCTTCTGGTGCCGGTGCGGGCTCCTCCTCGGCGGCAGGGGGCGCTGCAGGCTCGTCTTCCGGTCCGTCATAACCCGGTGGCTTCCACACTTTGCCCTCCCTGTTGATATCCGGCGGCGGCTCTATTTTCTATACCGATGGGAGGGACAGACAGAGAGAGAGAGAGAGAGAACTTAAGGACCTTTGTACCCATCGTACGCGCATGCGCGTGCGCAGTCAGCGCCGCGCAGGGGATGAGGCGACAACGCGCCGGTTGCGCCACCTACCTTGTTCTATCAAAAATACGGCGATGAGATAGAAAAACAAAACCAACAAAAAATTTAAAGAAAATGTCGACTGTCCACGACGTCTCCGTAAAAAATAACAGGCGGGATCTTCTTAAAGGGAAGATGCGTTGTTTTATATCGTATTAATAACGAGGGTCATTCGGGGGCGAACGAACCTGTAAGAATAACAAAGAAATGCATGCGGAATCGTATGAATTGCACCGGAAGCGGAAGTGATGTGTTCTACATCTGCTCATGCGACTGCAACGCGCGAAAAAGCACAAAATAGTTGTTATTATTATCATTATCATAGGGCGTGCATACCTGTACCTGTGAGAAATAAGATAAGCAGGCATTAGTGTAGTAGCATGGGGCATATGTTACGGCCATGCTCATTAAGATGTTACCTAGGTAAGTACGAGTGATAACCCAGAGTGGGGGGGGGGAGGCGAATGCAAATATCCCGCAATATCTAGTACAGTGCATGACTTTATCGCATGCATATACGCATGAGTGTTACAAGTTATGTCTATTGCAAAACAGATCAATATTATCAGGAGTTAATAATGACAAATTATCATTATTAACTCCTGATACTATACGTACAATGTTAACGATTAGATGAGCATTAATAAGCTCTCGTGAATGAACTTCCCTTTCGCGTTGCGAGAGGGCACTAGTTACGGTTACACGCAGTCCGTTCAGGCGGGTTTAGTGAATTGTAAAAATCGTCTGCTTTCACACGTCGTCGATGACGTAACGGAGTAAAGAGTTAATCTACACGTTTTAGCGCTACCTGTTAATGTATTCGCAAATGATTTTATTCTAGTAAAAGTTATTCTAAGCGCCGCTCATGACGTCACAGCGCGCATGCGGGATACGTTTCAATCTTCGTTCTGTCATGTGATCTTGGTGTTCGTCCATACTTACCCGCGCTGTAAGAAAATCTCCGACTGTAGATAGATGTCGACGAAAAAATAAACCCCCCAAAAAAAATCTACGAGAAAGATTCGAAATTGAAAAAAAATCTCGAAACATCTTTGGTCGGAAGATGATCGTACCTACGTGACACGTGACACGGTGGCGAGGCGGTGACGTTGACTATAGTTCGCGACCTTCGTGACCTTCTTGACCTACCTAGAATGCACGCGCTGCGTACGTCTGATCTTCTGTGGTTGTTACGTCATCATACTGGCTCGAAGAAAGAAGGCGAGCGGCGTCTGCACCGACGCACGACGACGTACCTACTATACACACACAGATCATGCACGCGGCTTCCAGGGGGAGTTTACTCCGCCGCCACCTCTTCGTAGGGGTAGGGATCCGGTACCGGGGCGGGAGCGGCAGCAGGAGCGGCAGCAGGAGCGGCAGATTCGAGCTCTTCGTAGCCCGGTGGCTGCCAGATCTTTCCGACTCTGTTCACCTCCGGCGGCGGCGGCAGCGGCTAAACGAGCAGACGATAAACGTGAGTTCGTGACGTAACATCCCTCTGTGCGCTCGCAGCGCCCTCTATATAAAGGCATGCGTGCGGCCTGCGGATTCCGCCGATCGCTTACTTTTTCGTAGCAGGGGAAGTAGTAGCAGTAGTACGTGGTCGATTCGCTTAGACTACGCTCAGCGCGCATGCGGGCAACAAGGTTTAGCCGTCTGATGAACTATACATGCTTCGAGAATGTGTGTGAAGGAGAGGGCAACGCGCATGACGTCGGTAGAACGCATGCGTAATTCATGCGTATCGTCTGCGACACGCGCGTGCTGCGATGACGTCATCTACAAGGGAATTCTTAGGTTAGAATATCGCATGCGTCCCGTGGTCGCCTCCCTACACGAGACGTAAGCATCGGCATTAGAAAGACTGACACATTTCCTGCTATTTCCGAAAAATGAATTCCACATTGCAATTTTCGGAGCGAAAGAGGGCGTCAAATCAGAAAACAAACATCTGTTTACGGTGAACGTTTCGAGCACGATGCGCCGTAGAAAATAATTGAAAATTTCATAGTATGGAACAACATTCTTTTTACCATAACTTAGCGTAGCAAACAAAAATAGCTTCTAAAGACAAATTAAAGTTGGAATGAAAGGTGATTAAGCTCATGTATACGAATATAAACGCTTTCAAATTACGCTACATAGTTTGAATGCTTTTGAAAACTTTCGGAATACGTTGTAAGTTAACGAACATTGACGTGAAATCGCCATTAAATTTTATCTAGTAACGTCAAAATCGTGCTTCGTAGGCATACGCGTATATATACACAATATAACACATACAACGTCTAGATCTACAGCCTAACTGGGTAGCGGTATATATGGGTTAATGTGACTTTGGGTTATGTCGATCTACAAAAACACGTATAAATCCAGCCGGAAAAAAATGCAATCCACGAAAACACGTCTAGCGCCGAAAAAAATTAAGGATCAGGCCGAAAGCCAGCAGTGGATGAAAAAACGACGCGCATGCATGTGATCGGGAGTAAATAAAAAAACAAAAGTTCGTTTTTTATTCACTCCCGATGTGATTCCAGTCGAATTTGTCTGGCAGCTGCGACACCGGAAGTCGACGTCACGTAATGTTGCGCAGCTCTTCTCGTGACGTCGTGCAATGACGTCGGCGTTCGTGAAAAATCGGACCAGCGAGATACCGATCTGGCTCGTATTTACATTTCGCTTTTTTCTCTCGTATCTCGCCAGACAGTGGTTACCTTCGTGAAAAGATCTTTACGCTCTCCATAAGATCTTCTGTCAACCTGCCTCTCGAATTTGCTCGCTACATGAATCTTCGGCTATAAAAAACAATCACAACAAACCAAACCAATCAAAAAACGGCAAGCTCGCAAAAGGAAGAGGAAGTGATGATCGAGGCGACATCTGGCGTCGGTCGCGGGAAACGTCGTCTGCCCTTGGGGGCGCCCGTGACCCTAAGGAGGTGCTGCGTTAGTGAAGGCGACGCTTGCCTGCGACAGACAAGGCTGTTAGCTGGGGGAAAACAGAGACGAGCATGCAAAACGCTAGATGGGTATAGGGGGTGAGGGTGGGTGAGGGGGTGGGTGGTGGAAGAAAAGAAAGCACACAAAGTTGCCCGGGGAGCCACCCCAACATCAACAACGCCTCTCCGTCCGAGCCACATGCGAGAGCAGCGCCCCTCAGCGGCGGCGCTGGGAAGACACAGCACAGCATCAGAGCACTCCGGAAGATGACGGGGTACGTTACCTTCCTGTACAGCTGTCTTCTCTCATCATAGGACCTGAGGTCCACGCGGCGATCAAATTTGCTCGACGTGGCAATTTTAGGCTGTGTAAGATGCAAGAGGAGAGTCGAGGGGCTTGTGAGAGACTATCAGTGTATGCAGGGTGCGCGATTATCTCTTGCAGTTCAGCAAGAGACGGACTCCACTCGCTTCGAGCATTCCGCGTACCGCCGTTCGGTGGCGCCACCGTTTGCTTGCGAAATCGCCGTTTGCAGCGTGCGGATAACGAAGCGCTGCGGTTGTTTCTGACGGTCGCCATGGCAACGTGAGTTGTCTTCCCTCACCGAACAGCGAACGCGAAATAACGAATCGGAGTGTAACGAACTGACGTCATTGCTGCTGTGCCGTCGGTTGGCGACGGTGTCAACCTGGCGGCGATGACGCGCCGACAGATGCGAGCAGCGCCACCAATTGGTGCAATGACGCCAATTGTTAACCGGACGTAACAGTGCAATTTTATTGCGTTAATATCTTCTAAATGGAGGCAGATGGCGCCACATGCTACAGCGTCCGCGGTGTTGCTAGCTACTAACTCTACGCTCGAACTACGATGGCAACCACGCGTGGCTACCTGCGAACAGGAGAGATAGAGACGCCGCATATATGCGTGCTCTAGCCATACCGATCTGCGATTCGTCCGCTAGGGTGACGCGCCGGCCAACTAGCGCGTTACCATGACGACGAGAACGCTCGCACGAACTGCAGTCGGCTGATCGTTCGCGCGCATGCGCAGGAAGTGCCGGGAAACTGCTCTCCAACCTTTGACCGCGGATGCGTTCGTTATTTTAACGGTTATATCTATCACTCGCCAGGCGGCGCCATCGGTCATGCTATGAGTATGCATATCCCCGTTATACAGGGTTATGAGGTGTCGCGGCGCTATCTACGTTCCAATGTAGCAATGTGCAGTAGTTACTGTATATGTACTCTCACAACCTCGCTGCTGGCACTGACGGCAACGTAGTGTCACGCCAGATGCCACCAGAGCTGGAGGTGCTGCGCTCTCTCTTTCTCTTTTTCACGCTCTCTCTCCTCTCTCTCTCTCTCTCTCTCTCTCTCTCTCTCTCTCTCTCTCTCGCTCTCTTTCTGTTAGTCTGTCTCT